AATTCAAAATCTACAACCCAATAAGAGCCTCATTCTATACCGTTCAGCTCTTGCTTTTAACTTCCTAATTTTTCAATGAAACTGAACTCTTGACCGAATGGTGCAACTGTAATTTTTTGTTATGATGATTTTCTTCATCTATTCTTTAGCCTGCTATCATCTAGATTTAGATAGAGGTCACTCCAAACTTTCTTTAACAAACCTCATTTTATTTTGAGCCACTTTTCTTCAGTGTAAAAAGATCTTACCTGAACAGTAATTACAAATATCATTCAAAACTTGTACTTCTTTTGAACAAACCCCTTAATCGTACCCCTTTAAATTATGTATATTGACCTGTAGTAAGTTTCATTATAAAATCTTACTAATAATCCCACTGTCATTCATACATAATCCCTACAAACCGTTCCATTTGCATACACAACCGTCCGTTTTCCATATCTGAGCTTTGCGAAGATCGAAACCAGAGGCCACCACTTCATAATAAACATTCTGTTTAACAGCTTGCCTGCGATGGCCTGGCCCTTAATCAACCTTATGAATAGGTTATAAGCACAGCTGGATCGTTTATGTCATACACTGTAATTCTGTGGCCGAAATACCAGTGCCGGACTATGCACAAAATATTACAAAATTTTATATTGTTTAGGATTCAACTTACGCGTTCCGACTTATCAAGTAGCCGAAGTTTCGAATAGCGAAACTTTCAACTAGTTTGCTCAAAGTTTCTATTTCCAAGGAGCTAACGAGCCAGAAATATTTAGGAGCGCCATCTCGTTTGCCGGACGAGTGTTTGAGTTAGATGATTCTGCTTGAGATCGTTGTCATGCATAACTTAAAATCAATTTGATAAAACTAGCAAATACACATTCCGGCAGCGTTTCCATGCAAAATTGATGTTTGTGCCGGACCATGACCCATCCATGAGTCGAGGATTAATTGCTTTTAAGAAACTAATTACGAATATTGGATAGTTTTGTTGTCGACGAGGTTATTGAAGCAAATTTCCACTTGGAAAATTTGTAGACTGTAAATTAAATTATGTGCGAAAAGATCATTGTTAAATTGATACAATTAAAATCCTAAGTAATTCTAACAAGGTTAAATTAAATTTAAATTAGACTGATCTGCTAGTAGTGCATCGTCAGACATCATTAGAAAGGAAGTTTGCTTAAGTTTGAGGAGCACGCTCTAACTTCATTTAAAGTTTTCGTTTGGGCCATTGTTAATGGTCATATTATCTAATAAGACCCTCAGGCAGCCGAAATCTGGTGCTTGCTATAACTATAATGGGATTTAGAAGGTCTGATTTAAGTTGATTTATTGGTGCGTGAGAATAATGCAGATTGAGGTAGTATTTTGTAATCGTAACTAATTTGGAAAGTATGTCGATATAATGGATGTACAGTCGAGTTTAGAAAGAGATTATGGGATTGTAGAAGTAATGTGGAAGGACAAGGAAAATGAAATAATGAAGGAAGAAATTGAAATGACCAGGGAATCAATAAAGAACTAAATTAGAAGCAGAGGAGAAAGGACCATTGTATAATTCTTATTGAAATCTGACGATGATCAGGAGTGAGTTAATAAAAAAGAAAATTCAAGGTTGATGGAAGTACCAGAAGTATGAAATACTGTGGAAGGTATTCTGTGATTGAAGTGAAACAGATGGAAGAGAAGTATCGTGAAGTGGCGTTCAAGAAATAGAGAAAGACTCCCAACTCGTTGGACGAAAGGTATTGTTCTATGATTAGTTTTTAAGTTGTTTGTTACCCAACAATATTAGTTTTTAGTTTTGTTATGTGTACTTATTTATTAATTTATATTTTACTTGGTATTTTGGAATGACATACAGGTTATATATGTCATCAGATAGATGTTAGTTTTTAGATAATGGCAACTAGTTAATCACACGACTAGTCATGAGAACAAAGTTAATAATAAAATTATCTAATAACAGGTGAGTGTTTCAATAATAAAATATACAAAAACATTAATAAAACTCTAAACCAAGTGTTGCTTGTTCAAAGGACGTATACCAGGGGGGGTTTTGGGGGTTCGAACCCCCTCATTGAACTGAATAAATTATTTTTATTGAAGAAAAATAAATGTTTTTGGGCGAGGCACCCGAGAAAAAAATTCGCCTTGGACGATAGTATATTTTTAGTTACTCGGTACTCAGGCCAAGATACTTTCTGAATCACGTACTTGTACTCGTATACCCGCGTACATGCGTTTTTACTTAAATACATTTGTTATACCCGGGTATTTTCATTGTTTTCGAATACATTTGCAGTTGGTAAGTGAAATTATTGGATTCTAAGTAAATACATATTTATTTGGCCACAAGTACATTTCCAGACTTGAGCTGAGATTTGACATTAGGTCTGTTCCAACACGTCAAAAACCGTCCCATGAACGGTTTCGAAACCACTCAGTGAATTTTGAACTTTTCTGTGCAATGTGACATTGTGTCTGTGGCCATAAATTTGGAAATTCTGATTTCCTTTTACAATAATTATCAAAAGCTACCTTGAAGAACAACCCAAACACGGTCATAAGCAGCCCAATTGCAAACCCATAAAGCACATCTTATGATTTAGATTTTGGAAAACTTTGAAAAGTCATAACTTTTTTTCTATTATAGATAGAAAGCTGAAATTTTGACTGAATTTTATCTCAATGAAAAGAGGTTATTTGAGACTCCGAACCCAAGGGCTTCATTTTCGAGAAAATCAGCTTTGAATCTTTTGTGAAATTTGAGAGTTTTGACTTTTAGCCTCAATATCTCCAGAAGTATTTAAGATAGAGAATTGAATCTTATTCTATCTTAAAGATAATTTAATTCTAATTCAGAATATATAATTTTATATCTATTTGTTGCAATAATAACCGAGTAATGAGCGATTTTGTGAGACAATGTCAGATTATTGAAATTTTCTGGGCCTAAAATGTGGAAAAACGGTTTTTATTTTCTTACAAGCCCTAAAACCCAGAAAACAAAATTGCGTAAATGCTTTTCCACTAATTTCCATCACTTCTTTCGATTGGTAAAGTCAAAAATTTCAAAATCCAAAAATTTAAAAATTCGAATTTTTCCAAAAGAGTGCATGGAAATTTGATTTTCAAATATTTCAAAAAGCCATATTTTGGAAACCAGTGAAGCTATCAGCATGAATCTTTTGCCCAATTGTAGCTCTTGAGAAGGGCTATAAAAAAGGTTCTTTGAGATTCCGAGCTCAAGGGCTTCGTTTTCAAGAAAATCAGCTTTGAATCTTTTGTGAAATTTGAGACAAAGTTATGACTTTGAGTCTCAATATCTTCAAAAGTATTTGAGATAAAGAATTATTTTATTTTGAAGATAATTTAATTCTGATTCAAAATATATAATCATACATCACGAAATGTGCAGTTATAACCGAATAATGAGTGGTTTAGTAAAACAATGCCAAATTATTGAAATTTTCTGGGCCCAAAATGTGGAAAAACGGTTTTTATTTTCTTACAAGCCCTAAAACCCAAAAAACAAAGTTGCGTAAATGCTTTTCCACTAATTTTCACCTCCTCTTTCGATTGGTAAAGTCAAAAAATGCAAAATCTAAAAATTTAAAAATTCGAATTTTTTCAAAGGGGTATTATGGAAATTTGATTTTCAAATATTTCAAGAAACCAGTAAAGCTATCGGCATGAATCTTTTGCTCAATTGTAGCTCTGAAGAAGAGCTATAAAAAAGGTTATTTGAGACTCCGAGCTCAAGGGCTTCGTTTTCAAGAAAATCAGCTTTGAATCTTTTGTGAAATTTGAGATAAAGTTTTGAATTTGAGCCTCAATATCTTCCGAAGTATTTAAGATAGAGAATTGAATTTTATTCTATCTTAAAGATAATTTAATTCTGATTCAGAATATAAGTATACATTATAATTTGTGCAGTTATAACCGAGTCCTTATAAACTCTGGACTCTGGATAACTAAATCAAACTTAAAAATTGTTGAATTCATTTAGTAAACCAAAATGTGTTTTTCAATTTTTGATGTGTGAACATCTATATCGGCAGTTTGATGGTGAATTTCGGGAAATGTGACGGAAGTGTGAAAGGGGAGGTGACGTCATAACCCATGTACAATGCTAAGTTCGCATCTACCTCAGCGCTTGCAGCCTATGAGGATTCATTAGATTTCCATGATAGATCAAGGCTGTTCAAAAGAGGACGTTGCGTAATAACTTGTACCTATGACATCATTGGGTAGGAATGCAAGGTGGTATTAGAATGTATTCATAAATGTACACGGTACTTTGAATACTTGGGTATTGAATATTTGTAATTGTACTCTGTACTGGAGAATATTCTACACTCAGTACTTGTACCCGGTGCCTGTACTCGAAACAGCTCTGACTATGCTACGCCCGATCGCCTATACATCGTCTGGTCTAAAATTGAGACCCTTTCCAGCATAGACCATGAGCGGCCATTACTACTCTAAACCCCTCCCATGTGAAAGCTATAGCTACGTCGTTGCTTGTTCAGGAAGATTGAGAGATGGTTTTCTCCAGCACTGGACATAATGAGATGATGATAACCATAACATGAATCATGACATGGGGAATCTCGAACAAGTGGTGCTAGTGCTAGAACCTAATAGTCAATCCAATATGGGAATTCCAGAGGCAAATATTGATTATGGAAAGAAAAAAAAAGATGAAAAGCGATAGATAATCCTCAGGGATTCTAAAACTGAATAGTGGATGAGAGACGAGGAGATGAAAGTTCTAAATAACCCATTAGAAAGCTAGCATTTTTTGCAAGACGAGGCAAACCAATGAATGGACTATTTTATAGAGTGGAACGCATTTGTATTTGAATGAGAAATTCCCTATAGAATTAGGATTCTAACAAACTGGATAGATTAATAATTTATTCAACCAATTTTGAAGCTAATACAATAATTTTCAAAGTAGGTATAATTTGAAAACTCTTGTCCTTAATAAGTATGCATCTTACCTCATTTTGGTTATAAACACTTGAGCTAAATCCAACGGAGTCCACGATATTCCCAAGTCCGCATGGGTAATCTCCTTCCATTCAGCATACTTCACAAGGGAACAGGCGGGCGATGGAACATCTTGAACAAAAATATTATTTCAAAATCTAATAATTTTCCCCAATTCAGCTTCATTCACCGAAACAACAATGATAAATTACCCGAATACAGACAAATAACTAGTTTATTCATTGCAGCAGCATTTCAATGGTCTTCGAATCATATTGCGCCGCCACTATTGTTGGCCGAGGCCGCTGGTTAGGAGATATTTGTTGGCCTGGTGTATTTATGACCTATTATTGCGTCCCGGTCATGCAAATTTTAATATTTGGACCGGATTTGTATGAATATAATATGTCAATGATCCAGAAAACCTATAAAAATTCGACCAATTTTATAAGTCTATTTCTGCGGAAATGTTTTTGAATGACAAACTGAAAAGACTTCCGTCTTTTTGAAGAGTTATGTGATCGGTTTTAGGAACAGGATCCGGTATAAGGGATGAGACAAGTTGCTATAAAAAAAAAATGTTTATATCCAATTAAATCAAAGATCCAATATTGACTGGTTTGATAAAAGACAAAGCTTCCTCCCTATTAAAAAACTTTATTATTCGTTCCTCTCTTAATTTCTGGGAGCTAATTACGGCTCTAAAAAGAATGGAAATGGAAGACGCGCGAGACAAAGGAGCCAGGAGACACAATGGTGACGAATTTTTGTAATATTCTTCCCCTTCGGTTTTTTGTCGGTGTCACAAGCAGCTTCCTTTTCTTAATGGAAAAAATTATTTTTAAATTAGGGTACATCAGATAAGGGCGCAGAAAGATGGAAAGAGATGGGGACTGGGCAAACGAGACTAATTCGTTTCCTATTCGTGACCGTTTACTGCGGTTGGCTTCCGATTTTTAATTCAAGAACGTTTGAGGATGATTAAAATAAATTTAACTTGCAGAATTAAAACGTTATATAGATCGTAACTTGATCAAAGTCCATGTGAAATTCCTGGCTTCCTTATCCAAGACAGACTTATCTGGTCATGGTCCTTCGAGCCGGATAAAAAGAAACCATATTCTATCAACGACAATATCCGAAAAGACTACATCAACTTTAACTACTGATTAACAATTTATTCAAAATAAAAATAAAAATTCGTTGTCCATTTAGCTAGCGGCGCCTATTGAAGCCGTCCATCCCATTCCGGAACCGTCAATCAAAGCAATAGCGTAATTCCAGTCCCTGGGCAGCGATTTGCTGGACAATACGATTATTTGCGTACTGTCCAGTGTTTACCTATCCAGTCCAAATACAATTTCATATTTCACTACAATATAGAATGGGAGATAAACGTGGCAGGATGATTGGCTATATCCCATAGAGCCAAAGCAAATATCTCCCGTCGCCCGACAATGGGGTTATTATTTTGCGAGCTATAGAGGGCTAACGATTATGGAGCATTGTTAATTAAATGAATAGGGTTTGAAATAAATTTATCTTTTTCCAAATTAACTGGAAAAAACACATCTCCGTACAAATTACCCAGTACATAAAATACAATTAGCTCAACCGGTTGGTGTGTGCTTTTTTTCCAAGTGGTAAAGAAAAATAATGCAATGAAGGAAAACTGTAAACCGAAATTTTTCCAGCTCGAATTAAATTCAATTAGGCATCGGTTGTGTTCCGAGGGTCGGGTTTTTATGCGCCAGGTGTTGATTACGACTGAGGGTTGTATATTTGGATTAAAAATGTTAAAAAGTCTCAACCTTAAACTTAAGATGTTAGCTACCTTAAATGGAATTTTAGAGAAAATGTCTAGCATTGTTGGGGGAAACAGTTGAAATTGTTACGATAAATTTATCATTTACGTAACATGTTCCATCTCTCTCTCTCTTCTTAAGATTGGTTTCCTGTAGGGTTTGGTTTTTAAAATGTTCTCTTTCTCTGGCAGTGCTCTAGCAGGCGATTCATTTTTATTTTGGATAATTTTCCTTCGCATTTCTAGATTCTCCCTTTTAATTTTTCAATATATTTTGTCATCAGTGCATAATACCATATCATTGTTGAGTTTTTACTTGATAAATCTTATCTTATCTATTCTTGAAATATAAATATTATATTTTATTTTTTTTTAATCTAATTGTGGGCCTTTATTTTGTGTGATTTGTGGTTCCACGTTTTTTGAGGTAAGTCAATTCAGATTTTTGGGCTAATAGATAGGTACTGCTGCTCTGGTTTTCAGAATCAATTATTAGTGTGGGATTATTGGACCATTTGCTCTAAATAGAGTCGGTGAAAACCAAATTTGTGTGTCCATCCCTATCAACTCTTTATTGAATCCAGGCAGAGGCCTGTATAGCCATTTTCTGCGTGACTCCGTCAATTATTATCGGAGAGAAGAGTGTTGAAAGAGGGTGTAATTTTCCAAAATAGAAATCCAGACAGGTCAAAGATTCATTTAAAAAGTTTTAATTTTGAAAGTTCCTGGATTTGATTGATTTCGCCCTCAGGTTTATCTTGTAGTACCTATAGTAGTTACCTTGGCTTAAAAGGAAAATTTTGTCTATTTGGGGGATTTCTTATTTCTTTATCTGATTTTGTTCTTAGTCTTGTCGCAAGACACTCTCTTTTTGACAGAATTCAGGGATTTAATATTCCAAATCTTGGTGAACCTGATACTGCCTTTTTCTTTTCTTGGTACCTACTCGACATAAAGATCACTGTTTGAAGTCTGGATCAGCTGGAGTGACGTCACCCCAGCAATCTACCCTCTTTTCTGGAAACAACCCGAAGAGCTCCAGTTCACAAAAGTGAAACCCCAACATCCATTGAAGAACTCCGGATTGGAAAGGTACATTGTATCAGATTCACCGGAACAACCAAGCTGTCAACTGTCAAATTTTGAAGAAAGTAACAGTGACTGTTACTTACATTATAAAAAAAATAAAATTATTGTTTGTTGGACTTTGAGTGGTTTCATTTGCACATAAAGGGGCTACACGTTATCTTAATTTTTTGAATTCCACGACCCTAGGTTCTCTTGTCTTAAAGTGCAAATAACTGGTGTTATTTGTAACAAGATTCATGAATAATTGATGACTTTAGGATTTTTATTTTATGTACTAACAATCAAAATGTATCAACACTAAGTAGGAGCAACCCAATACAACAGCCTCTATATTTAATCAACAAGGACGGATATAGGATAAGAGTGTTCAAACGAAAATTGTATGCGGCATTTACCTTGCTACGATATTTGAATTTATTTTAGCCTTTCTCGAACACCTGTTTCAAACAAAAATTCCTATTATCCCTGGAACTAACCGTTCCTAATTTAATTCCATTAAATCGAAAAAGTTTTGCCCCGGTGTTCTTTTTTCGATTCTGCCCAGATTTATTTATTACAAGTTTTATTCGTACCAAGCCCCGGCACTTACTGTTTAAATTGTTTTTGGAATGATGTGAATTAAAAAAGTCTAGAGTCCAGCAAAATTAGATTTGAGCTTGTGACTTGTATGGTCAAATGAAAGCTGATATGCTTAATATTTAAGCAATGTGGGGATGTTACGTTCAAATTTTGCCTTAATATAATTCAGGTATTTGTGAGGGTATTTATGAAGCTTTATACCTGAGGATTAATATTTTTCAGTGACAACAATAATGTGGGTGTTGAACAAAAGTATATTTTTCGAGGCAATACTGAGTTAATTCTCTTTATTCGGTTTAAGGATAATGAAGCCCTACTAATAGGATCGAAATCTATATTATTTAGCTCACGAAAGTTGTCTAAAAGGCCCTAAATGTTGATGAACATGTTTCTTCCTTCCTAATAAATATCAATTGGCAACACTTACGAGTCTAGTATTTTCCATTATTAAAAATTCTGCAACATCAGATATCACTTTCACACCCTTTAAATCGATTTTTCACCCTTATTTCCACTATTATTTACATTATCCCGGTTATTTCTTTTTGCCGAATAAGTGTGGTTATGGGATACTTGTTGATTCGTTTCAGGCAGCGTTGTTGCCGAGGTTTCTTGACCACTGTGGGTAATAGAGTCACTGTAGTTGCTACCACTGAACGAATGGTCATTTTGATAGTTTTTAGACTGAAGACTGGGTAGATGTTGATTAATAAGTAATTAATTAGTGTTAGGGGAGAAAATTTGATAACAACTTTGAGTTTTGTTGGTCATCAATGTGGTTTGGATTGTGCGTTTCAAGCTCTTTGTTTCGTTTTCCTGGTCAAGACCGGAAATCTGGCACCAAAGGGCATCTTGGAAAAAAATAGAATTCTGGGGAATGTTTCATATGTGCTCACTTAATAAATTGCCGAAAATAGGGTCGTTCTTTTTAAATTTGCACGTTGAGTAAGCAACAGGCAGATTTTACCAGCGGTCCTCTTTGCTATGTTCCTTGGAACAAGCACCTTTTGTGGGATTTTAGAGGCGTTGGGAGCTCAAGTGGTTGCTGGCTTAATTGGTTTTGGGGTGAAAACTTGGATTTGGTCGTAAGTCCCCGTATTTGTAAGCCAACCACTCAGAATTTTCTGGAGACAAAAATCTACGCCATTTTGTTGAGCTGTGTGAGCAAAGAGCACGTTTTGTTCAACTAGAAGCCCGAATTGTAACCAGGGTTTTAGGATTTTAGATTTTACCTTACCATTGGGTCCTTCCCTTTCGACGGTTTGCTAGTTTCGAAGTTGAGGTGTCAGAGTACCCAAAATACTGAACTTGAAACCGAAATTTACCATTTTTAAGAAGGGAAGTCAATAGAAGTTGATGGGGTCTGTTATCAGGGCTGTGAGGATGTCATGAGACAGTAATGGAAATGCATATTTAGACTACAGGGAGGACCACAAGGGGGTGATGTACCCATTGATTTATTAACGTTTCTTGGTACTTGGTACATTTCCAAGTTTGTTTTACTGCCTTCATTATTACAATTATTACAATGGGTGTACTGTACCAATGAATATTAATTTGCTATACTTACTTAAGGTGAATTTGTTGTACAAACCCGCTCCGGTATACCATGCTATAAGCGTGCACAGGTTTTAATTAGTAATATTAATCTTTTATTTAC